GTTTTGAAGAGGCAATTTTTTTTTACAAAAAGTAGGTAGAGAGAGAGAGAAAGAGAGAGAAATACAGTAGGTAGGTAGGGAGAGTGAGTAGTTAGGTAGTTAAAGGGAGAGAGAGAGAGGGAGGGAGGGGGAGTAGGTAGGTAGATAGATGTTTCCAGGTGTATTTATCCATGTGGTGGAGAAGGAAATCGCTGACAATTTGCAGCACCTAAGACTTTGTTTCTNTAATCTTGATCTGTTTTATAAGTCCCAATAACTCAACTCATTCAAAATCTTAAGTTCAAACTACACTATAACTTCAGGCTGTGTGCAAACCCAGCTAAAGAGTCTGTTTTGACTATGGCAATTTCTTTGTTAGATCATATGGCATATGACACCTTATACAACCGCACCGATTAACAATAAATTATATTTCTAGGAATAATTTCATGTTATACTGTAATAATATATAAAATCCATGTAGTATATATCTAAACATCTGGTTTAACTTGGACTATTTTTTTAAAAAGTTAAGTGAGGTTGAATGTAATGAATATTTGGACTAGAGACTTTCAAAAAAATCCCAGGTTAAATTGGAAATTGAAAATGCATACTAGATGAAATCAGTGGCCATGGTAAAATCACTTTTATACTGCTGCTACAAAAACTACATAGGCACCAGAAGTCAAGCTTGAGTTGAGGAGCCTTTATTAACCACCCATGAAATTAGATGTCAGATTAGACATGAATTCAAGCTTGCTTATAAAGCATGTTCAATTTTAAAGAAAGTTGGAATGAACTTTTATTTTCTGAGAACACTAGGAAAAATAATTTACGCATATTATATACTTACAAGTCCTTTTGATAAAACAGGTTCTTCTGTCCTGCAAAATAAATAACACCTAGTTTGTTAAAGTTTTTATTTTGTTGTCTTTTTCAGAAACAATGTCAGATTCTTGTCACCAATGTAATGTTTTCAAGGTATATGGTCTGTTCCTTAACAAGACACAGCACAGACTTTCAAATTAAACCTATTCTGAGAATAGATTATAGAGGTAAGGACAGGATTATTGGATCATATTTTTCAAGGCCAACTATCCACGACAGCATGTCTTGTCAAGTCCTCTCACAACTATTGAAACGGAATACTGTACACATGTTCTCAAATTCAAGTGTTAAGGAGAGAGCTTTTATAGTTCAGTGCAAATTCAAACTAAATATTTTTAATAAAAAAATTATTTAATTTTCAAAACACAACACANTTTCAAATATATAGCAAAAGGGAGATTATAAAAGATTACTGTTGGTCTTGGAAAGTTGTAAACAGATTAAGGGCTCAGATGGACTTGATTTAAGATGCTGAAGTTAATTGAAAGGATTCTTTCTCCTGGGGAAATTTCCTCGTTTTTCTTGGGAAGCCGATATGATCCTTGAAAGTTGGATACTAGAGGGCAACAGATGGCTACCTCAAAAGAAATGTTTACTGAAGGGGTACAGTAGATCTCTGAGTTATTTAACTCTATAATGGAATCAGAATGTTGAAAAGGAACAAACACCACTGAATAAAACTGAAATTGACTTACAAATGGGCTTTAAAATTGTAGCTACAAGAAAGAGAAGGAAATAATGGATTTTCAAGTGAAATTGGACAAAGATTTAAACATTTAAATGTTATACCAATAATAAATTAGAACAGCAATGGGACCACTGGCATTACAAAAGGGACCTGACAAAGATAAGAAGAGACTAGGAGGAAACATGTTAGAACTTTCTATAAGGAATTTAAAAAACTGTTGAGAGAAAGAAAGATTGCAAAATAAACTACAGCTGCTCCCTAAAATCACATCAATTGCGATTTTTCCATTCTTGAAATCCAGTTAAGCTTAAGGAAGAAATTTTATAGATGTTATATTTCAAAACCAACCCTAAGTATGTTTTATTATAAATGTTCTATTTGCAGTATTAAGAGGAAAAATGCACAGTGCAACAGAATGCATATTACTTTATTGACAAGTTCTCCCTTTTTTTTTGTGCAGTATTAACCTGCTATTTCCTAATTAATTAGATGTTCAGCCTCAAGTTGATATAGAATTCATTGGTGGTTTTGGAATAACTCCCTTTCTTCAGATTGAGCCTGACAAAGAACTAAATTAGCAACAACACCCTCCCCCCCCATGATTAATGAATAATAACTGAACAACATGAACTCAGAGTACATTAGGGGAGGAAATCCAATCAAAATTGGTTTCAAAATTTTAATATAAACTGTTCCTTTGATTATCACAAGCCATTTGCCCATCATAATATACCAGCTGCATAACGCAGAAGCTTTGGAAAAAAATACAGATCAATCATTATGAAAAGCTGCTGCCACCGCTGAATATTAAGCTGGATAAGCATCATTATAAAAAAATGATGCAAGATGGAATTGCTAAAGCAGCTGAGTCTTACCGTGTCATATAAAAATACTGAAGTAATTTCTATATAAATACACCCCTCCTAAAAAAGCCATTTACCTACTATGCTTTATTTGTAAATATGTAAAAACTACTGGTAATCAGAAGTGAAATCTTATTTTTAAATTATTTTCCTTGACTTATAAGACTTAAGAAAAAAACCATTTTGAATTATTTATTTATTTTTAAATTTCCCTGTCACCCCTTTTCTTTCTGGATCCAGAATCTCTTAGGAATCTCCAAACGCTCTTACTTAGTTTCCATAGTAAAGTAGTGGTAAAACTACCACTAAGCAAGCCCTACACCTATTTAGGGATTTATCTCAGATGGAACCAACACAGCAAACCCTTTGGCGTTTTTGTTGGTAGTGAGTGTTTCCCACTGTTTACGGGCTCAGCATGGCTCCCATAGAGGCTTTATATTTATCTTTGGCTATAGCTAGAAAAGCAGCTCCATATCTTTGATGTATTATGTCTGATGACAGCATAGAAGATTAATGGAGATTTCTTAGGTGCAGCAATGTGTAAGACCTTGAGTCAAGGCTAAAATTATGATAGCTGGAGGGAAAGAGAGGGAAGTATTGTTGCTAAACACAGGCGGGATAGGCAGCCAGAGCCAGCAAACCTGCCTAGATCCAGTCCCATTGGGATGGAGATGAGGCCTGTTTTCCAAATAAAAATAAGATTTAACTTCCTAGTAGACACAGGCTACCCAGCATGTGCTACTGAAATGAAACATTAAACGTACAATCTTGTATTAGAATCCCAGAGTTTCCAAGTGAATCTGAGCCATGCCTAACCGATGAAGTAAACTTGAAAACATCCAGTTAAAGCCAGTTTTTATTTCTTAGTACATGCAGCTAGAATCAGAATGCAAGGTTGTACAATTCAGTAATCAACATTACTTCAGGGCAATTACAGTAATTTGTTTTTAATAGAACAGGGATGTCAGATAGCTTGCATTATTGGTTTATGTTGACTGACTAGTTACAGAAAGAAGCACATTTGAAAATCAGGTCATGGAGTAAAGCTTGCAACAATAAAAGGAGATGAATGTACAGAAGAGCAGCAAATAATTCAGAAATGGAGGCAATACCCTCCTTGCTGCTTGAGAGGCATAAAATATCTGCTGGAGCAGACTTGAACTCTGAAAAAAGGCTCCTGGCAGCTATCAACCTTCCAGCAGAACAGATTTAGCTCTGGAGGACTGTTTGGTAAAGCATAATTTACCAGCAGCAATTATATTGCTGTGTCCTGGCTCCTTTGGTCCCCTCTTTCTTCTTTCCCTTGGGTGATTTCAAAAGATATGCTTGAAATGCTAAATTTACCCTTCGTATTGTCTTGAGGCATCCTCGATTCTACATCTTACCTAAGAGAGGGTATGCTAAGAACTGCTATAATGATTCTCAGAGGAAAGAAGGGCAGATTCTCAAACAGGCTTAATCGGGAAGATTAGAGCAAATCGATTGGAGAGCGAAAAGAAACTCCTGCAGTGATGGCGTTTTGATTTCTGTATCAGGAATTATTCACCATAGACTGATTAAATATGGATATTTTACATATGCAGACCAATCATGCTATTCCTTTTAGCAAATCTCTCTGTGTGGGCCATTGAGTCAATGTTGACTCCTGGCAAATGCTTGGATAAATCCCTGCAGTTTTCTTGGAAAGATCTTGGAAGCTATATATTCCTGGGGCTGAGAATGGGTGACTGGTCCAAGGTTACTCAGCTGGCTTTGTGCCTAAGGAGGAACTAGAACTCACGGTGTCCCAGATTCTAGCCTGGTGTCTTAATCACCACACCAGATGGGGTCTCTTTAGCAAATTATACCATGAAAATTCAGTTCAAACTGAACTTGTTTAGAGAATGAAGTTGCAACAGGAGTTTGAAAAGCAAAGTTCTTCGTCATTTTTCATGGGACTAAAAATTATTGATTTGAAACAAAGTTTGCACGAATAAACTGCTCCTAATGCTGTTTTTCTCCATTCACAGATTGGAAAAAGATATAGCATTCCATTCTAACTATATAATGAAATATCTTTTTAAAAATAATAATAATAATAATGAAGACACGTGCAGAAATCCTTACATGAGATACAAATTGCGGAAAGATTTTAAGATGTTTCTTGGATCACTCAAAAGAATTGTTATATGTGGCTATTCAAAAAACACAAATAAAATTGTAATCTGAATTTCTAAAACATGAAAATCAAAGGAAGAATTTCTGCCTCCTTGCTTGGGGCTCCCATAGAAGCAGAGCACCATGGGGCTCGTAAATGCCCACAACACCATTCCCGTGGTATTTTAATTCTGAATATTAACTATGTTTGCTTTTTAATACAATTTTATATACACTTTTATATTTTACTTGTACATCACCCAGAAACCTGCTGTGAGAAAAAGGAGCAGTTTTTAAAGTTGATTAATAAATTCAAGAATAATCCAATATTTCAATATATTTCAGTTGTACCATTTTTAAAGGTTTACAATGACACGATCAATCTTTGCAACGTAACCTTTTTTCCATACAATCGTTACAGAATAATGTTTTTCTTAAAACAATACCTTATTGTCATCTTCTTTATCCTTAATAAATAAATATCTCAGCAAATTCAGTGAGGCCATTATTCTGAAAATCAGAAATGTCAAATAGTCAGCTGCGTAAAATGTTATTCATCAAGCATTGATATATTAATTTGTGACAACTATTCTCAATTCCATAAATTTTTCATCAAATACAGAAAAATTACTGTATTACAGGATTCTTATTATTTCCCTTGGATGAATGTGTATTCCTCCAGATATTTTATTTATTGCTATTGACCAGTAACAGTAACAACATTTTGATCTTTACTATTCTACTAGGAATTTTTCCCCCGGCTTACCTAGCAGCCTCGTACCCTGCCTCAATTTTTCACCCTTAATAAGAGTGCTGGCAAATGCTGAGCATATGTTGAGTTCCTACAAATAACATATGCTTCACGCTTGTTGTCAAATGTATATCTATAATATACAGCATTACATCTGCAACACATTTGAATGGCTTCATAGTTAGCATCTCAATAAATGTTCTGATTAAGTGAACGGCAAAGGCAAAATGACATATTTGGATTAGTGAATCAATTATTCAAGAGATTTTTAACAGATTATCTTTTTGATTTAATAGTGCCTTTTTGGCACCAGGAGTTCATAATTTGCTTATAAACTCCAGTGAAACCTCAAATAAGCCAAAGGACTCTTAGAAAGTTATTTTGTTAACAAATTATAAGAACCTTAATGAAGTACCTCAGAGGTGGTCAGCCCTTCGCGAAAGACCAGGCTTAAACACCAAAGTTATGGAAACTAAAACTAATTTTCATTATAGGGTTGAAGTAACAGAACTCTGCAAGCCTGAATGTGCCTCCGTCTGTCTGTCTTTATCCTAGCGAGAACTATGGAGACTCAAGTTGGAGACATTTTCTCAAATTCCACTCTTGCTTCGCACTCACTTTTTAAAAATATGACAGTTGCTTTTGCTGTAGTTGTTAGTCCTGTTCTTCAAGGTTATTTTCACAGCCCTTTACAAGTAGCCCTTTCTTAATGGCCAATAGCTTAGCAACTGTTCAAAGAGTGACCTCCCCCCCCCAAAGGTACTTACAAGCCCGATTTCCAAGTTCTAATAGCCACACATTCCAATGCAATCACATGATCACATTTTGGGCATTTTGGGACCAATTCATTTTCATGGCCAGAATCTCAGGATCACATGACCATGATTTTCTATGTTTTTAGCCATTTCTAGCCTTTATTTCTGGTTTCTAGCAAAAAAAAATGCCCATTGGATAAAATGGATTGGCTTAATACAGTGTTTTTCAACCTTGGCAACTTGAAGATGTCCGGACTTCAACTCCCAGAATTCCCCAGCCAGCATTCGCGAATGCTGGCTGGGGAATTCTGGNGAGGTGGAAGGGACCTTGGAGGTCTTCTAGTCCAACCCCCTTCTCAAGCAGGAAATCGTACACCATTTCAGACAAATGGTTGTCCAATCTCTTCTTAGGAACTTCCAGTGTTGGGGCATCCACAACTTTTGGAGGCAACTTCTGTTCCACTGATTAATTGTTCTAACTGTCAGGAATTTTCTCCTTAGTTCTAGGTTGCTTCTCTTGATTAGTTTCCATCCATTGCTTCTGGTCCTGCCTTCAGTTCAACATAAGGTGACTGTGCCAAGCTGGGAAAAGTTGAAGAGGAACAGAAGGTTCTGCTTCCCCAAATCCTTTCCTTAAAACCTACCTGAAGGGGAAGAAAGAACGAGGAAGCAAATGTGCCCTCAAGGTCCCAGAAGTCAGCGCAGGAAGAGAGGAAAATAGGATTGGTAAACGAAAGACAGAAAGCGCTATAGTATTCCTGCCTGGGCAAGCTAAAATCCAACAGGGTTGTCCAACAAATTGCATGATGAGAAATTTCAAGAATGAAAAGAAAAAGAGCCTTTATTTTTTCCTCCCAGAGAAAATGTCCTAAACCGCAGAATTTGCTATTGCACAAGGAATCTAATGACGGATATGGAGGTGGGAAAGCTGCTGGCTTCCAGGCCAGCCTAATCATTTTGGCTTTCCATTAACTCTTAACATCTCAGCCCACATACTCTACATTCCCGTTGCTAAGAGCTGGAACAGGAAGGTGGCCTCGCCAAAAGATCTGGGGACAGAATCCAAGACTCGATCCAAGCCTGATCCAGCACTCTTGCTCTTCTTACAACCTTATTAAAGTTGTCGTTATGTGTCGCTTTGAAGAGGTGTTTCTTTTGCCACTCGCTTTTGCCACTGTCCCATCAGGAGGTGACAACAGGAAGGAAGGAAGTAAAGCAGCAGGGGGGGGGGAGTCTGCTTTCCCCCTATTTGATGCTTGCAGGAAGCAAGAGGGAGAGTCAACCCCAAGCAAAGGAAGGAACCCCCCAATCTCACTAAGGGGAACCCAGACCTATTCCCAGCCCTGCCCCAAAGAAGCCTTCTAAAAAAACAACATTGGCTTGCCTTCCCCCAACCCCAAAATGACACAATCTCCTTTCCTCCCCCTCCCACACAAACATATGGAGAAGGGGAGTTGGACTACAACTCCCACGCTGGGTGGGGATAGTGGGAACTGTAGTCCCGCACAAACTTTTCAGCAGGGGATTGAAAGCGTGTGACAGGTTGGACTAAACCAGTGGTTCCCCACCTAAGCATCTCTAAAATGCGCCCCTCCCTCACATATAATTCTTACTTTACTCAAAAAGTAAACTCTACTTATGCGGAGGAAGCCTCAAAGGCCATCAACTTAGTTTAAGCAAGGTTCAATTTGCCCCCATTAGAAATCAAGTTGCCCCCCTTGGGAAACACTGCACTAAGGGGATCCCAGACCTATTCCCAGCCCTGCCCCAAAGAACTGGATCCTTCTTTAAAAAACAACATTGGCTTGTTTTTTCCCCCACCCCAAAAAAACACGACACAATCCCCTTTCCCCCCCTCCCACACAAAACATATGGGGACGGGGAGTTGGAGAAATCCCATGCTGGGCGGGGAGGGTGGGAACTGTAGTCCCTGCACAAACTTTTGAGCAGGGGATTGAAAGTGTGCCACAGGTTGGACGACTCTTCCTAACTAGGTGCTTGTCGATCAGAAAGGTCGGCGGTTCGAATCCCCCCTAGTACAGGACTCCTGCGTGAGCAGGGGGTTGGGCTAGATGACCTCCAAGGTCCCTTCCAATCGTTACTGTTACTGACTCTTTGGGGGGGGGTCAACTGAACCCCCTCCCCCAAAACTTCCTTTTCTCAGCCGGCAGCCTGGAGGAGACAGGAGCCTCCGAGTGGGAACCCCATCATGAAGTGGGGAGTGAAGGGTTTCCCCCGGGGTCAGCGGCCAAGGAGCGAGCCAGGAGTCAGAGGAGGTTGAGGGGCGAAGGGCAAACCCCCTCCCCAATTTCAGCTGCTCTAAAGGGGAGGCCTCCCGCCTTCTCCGAAACTCACAGACGAGGGGGTCAAACAGAGGGGGGGTCTCTTAAGAGGAGGGGCTTCTTCTCCTGAGGCGAGGGACCCCATTCCGCCAGAAGAGAGGAGGGGGGCTCCGGTGGGAGGGGGCTCGTGAGGTCATTGAAGGGAGGGGTCCGCAGGAGGGAGGGGGTCCCGCTCACCTGGTCTTCGCGCTCTCCCCCAACACACCAACAGGGACCCTCAGCCGGGGGGAGGGAGAACCAAAGGCCGCGAGGCAGCGGCGGCGGCGGCGGACTTAAGGCTGCCGGCTTCGAGCTCGGCGGCGACAACTTCGGCCTTGACCAACTTCCGGGTTTGCGGCCGCCATCTTGAAACTCACGCCGACTTCCGGATCGGGGAGAGGCGAAGGGGAAAGCCCGATAACTACGACAAGACTTCCGGTTCTCCCCCCCAAAGCGCTGAGTGCTGATGCACGGACGTAGCCTCGAGTTCTCCAATGAGGGGCGCGCCCGCCCAAGGTGAGAGAGTCCAGCTGACGCAAGCGCAACCCGGATGCCCGGTTCCCAATCGGCAGGATGAGTGGAGCTCCCCTCCCCCCTCAAAACGGGGTGGGGGGCCCTTTCCCTCACGGGGATAGGGCAAGGATAGTCAAACGCCCTGAGCGATCCGGAGGTGTAAGAGAGGGGAAATACGTGGCATCGACTCCACCGAGAGATAGATAGAGCGGGTCTTTTTAAATACCTCGTCGTGGAATAAAAACCAGACGTCGATGCGCAAGTTTTGTCCGTTGTTTTTTTTAATCTCTTTGCTTCCGGACTTCGTTTGAAACGCGGAAATCAGGCCATAGTGGGCGGGGCTAGAGAGGAGAGGGCGGGGCACTGGCAAAAAGATGGGAGAAGGAAGTGGGGAGTTTGAGAAATGCTGTTGATTTTATTGCTGTCATTCAACTTTTGCAGCATTAATGCTATGAATAAGGTCAGCAAAGCTTACTGGGATTTTTATGCTCCCATAAAGTATTCAGGGCGCAAGTTTCATTGAGTGAGAATGAAACCTATGGAAGTTTGGGGCTCCTTATTAGGGCTAAAAGGTAAAGTTTCCCCTTGCACATATGTGCTAGTTGTTCCCGACTCCGTTTCAAAGCTGAAGAGCCAGTGCTCTCCGGAGATGTCTCCATGGTCATGTGGCCGGCATGACTAAACCCATGGAACGCTGTTACCTTCCCACCAAAGGTGTGTGGGAAGTTATCATCCAGCCCTCTCCCAGAAAAATGAAATATCCTAGGAAATATTGAAAAGGCAGAATATTTCTCTGGATGTGAAAACAAAGAAACATGTTTTAAAAGACAGAATAGTTGCCTGTAGCTTCCTGCACATCCCCACTGTTAATGGGCCATTAAGAAGGCCAAGCTAGTCCCTTTTACATAATAAAGACTTCTCCACTGCAGCTGCAGGGGAGGATGGGAGTAAAGGCATGATAATATTGGCCCTTTACTCAACTGACCACATGGCATCTGAGAACTCAACTAAACCTGGATTCAAAACACAGCCTAGAGAGTAGCTCCTGCATGGCCCCATGAAAACTTAACCAAAGGTGGCATTTCTTAGTTTTTGAAGAGGTATAAGGAGACTCAGTCACTACAACCCCACACTGGTAAAGGCAGGAAAAGGTGAACAACAGCAAGTGATGATAGAAGAATTAAGAGACTCTGCCTACGTGACAGAAGAAAACCATCTGGGTGCATACAAGATGAAATGGTGCAATGCGAAGTGAAGTTGATTGCAAGGGCTGTTTGGCGCAGACTGCAGGAATTTGGCCTAAAATCTAGAATTCCTTGGGAAAAAAGCCACTTT